TCAGCTGAAATTACAAGGTATTTTTGTGCTAAACTATTAGTTTGTGATTTTATCCTATTTTGGTACTAGCATCTCTAACAATCTTGTTATATCTCTGAAAAGCTTCCTTTCTTTGCCTTTTAATCTTCAGAGGAACACAAGTTGAATACATCTTTACAGGAGGAGCTCCACTCACTGAGAGTATTTAAGGACAAAGTGAGTTCCAGAGTTGGCTTGGAAGTTAATTAATTTTTCGAATTTTTACCTCACTGTTGATTTACATTTTCTATAATCATTGTTTAGTTATATTCTTATCCTTACCCACATTCTGTTAGTGTTTGTGTTTAGTCTAGCACCTATCCTCTGTGGAAACATTGTTATACAGAATTCACAATGTCCATAAGGTTAGTTGCCGGTGCACACATTATTTTTTTGGCTTTTCCATGTTGTGGAAAATAACTGGGAAAGTTCCCATGGGAGGATTATGGTAGACCAGTAGAGGAGCCAAACTCTTTAGTGAGAGAAGTGTAATTCCTTTCGTCTTAAGTAAGGCACAGTTGGAGTGCCTTTTTTTCATAATTTATCCACAAGCTTAACATGTATTCTCAGGTTTTGCTGCCCTTTGTTTCTCCCATTTTGGAGTATAAGGAATGTGGGCAGTTCCTCAAAACCTTCTTATTTTCAAGCCTGAATGGATGATTTGTGTCTGTATCACTTTTACATGCTTATGTATCTGTCTTTTCAAGTTTCATAAGCCTCTAGAACTTGAGCCTACAAATTTCATTCCACTTCTTTCTTTCCTTTTTTGAACAGTTCTGTTTCACTCCATTGCACTTAAAGGACTTTGGTCATACTGACCTCATACATACCTTATTATATGCTTGTCATATTCTTTATTTCTCTCATCTGTTGGCAGTACTCAAGAGACGTGAGCAAAATACATGATGAATTGAATGAGAAAACATCAGAAATAAGACGTTTGCAGATGGAATTGAGTAGGCGGGATGATGAACATGCAACTGATATCGTGGAAAATATGAAGGGTGTAATTGCAACCTTAGAGAAGGAAAACTATAATATTAAGGTTGATTTATTCATTAGTTACAGAGTTTCTTATAATGGAATAACCCCATCAGTCTTGTTTTGCAAAGTATATAATGCTTTTGTGATGTGGCTGCTTGAATCTGCTTGCATCTGCTGTGTAGTTAAAGAAGGATGAGCTTGAGGCTGCGTTGGAGTTGAGCAGGAACTCCTCAACAGGAAAAGTCTATCCAGAAGCGCCAGAGATGCTAACAAAGCATTCAAGTAGTCAGAATGGGGTAATTTCTGAATAGTCATGTCTTATGCCAATCTGTCTCTATTCTGATTGTATCCCTTGGAGTAGTAATTGCTGTATTTACTGTTCTTTCCTTACTGTATTTTTTTTTTTCCTCCCAGGAGATAGATCTGCCAGGAAGTTTCCCTGGGAAAGAAGAGATGGATCTATCTTTGCAGAGTTTGGAGAAAGATTTAAAGGAAACACAACGTGAGAGGGATAAAGCACTGCAACAGTTGAATCGTCTTAAACAACATTTGTTAGAAAAGGTGGCATATCCCTGGAGTTTCTAATAATGTTTCTCTCATAATTTTGTCTGACTCATAAATTTGGATTTTTCTTCATTTATTATTAATGATATGATTTGATTACCAATTGATAAGTAGGCATTGCTAAAAATATGGTCCTATCTCTATTTTGTGCAATTTCAGTTTCATTGTAAAACTGGTTATTTGTGGTGCAATTCTGCTGCTACCATATGAAATTTTTTACCAGTCAAAAGCATTGTAAGAAGTAATGATATTCCTCGCATGCAACTCTATTTTTGTTATAAAAAAATGATATATTCTGAGCAGATGGTACCTCTAGTTTCTGACATATGATCTGTAAACAACAAATTTGTATGTGAAAAATAATGAAGTTATATATACTTTGGATTTGCTTTTATTTCACATACATCTGTTCAGGTATATGGACGGCCATATGGTCTGAAAGCCAACCTTTTAGTTTCTCTGTGTCACAAGTCCTTATGCTACAGATATATTCTTGTTGGATCTGGAATTGTTTACTATGCAAGTTAACGGAATGTCACAACTTTCTTCAACAGGATTCTTTTGGCAAGATTGCTGATGATTATCTTGCTGTAATTTTGTCTAGGAATCTGAGGAGTCAGAGAAAATGGATGAGGACAGCAAAATCATTGAAGGACTTCGCCGTAATAATGAATATCAAAGGGCCCAAATATTACAATTGGAGAAAGCTCTAAATCAAGCAATTGCGAGTCAGGAAGAAGTTAAGATAATCAACAATGCCGAGATTCAAAAGTCGAAGGAAATGATTGATGATCTGAATAGAAGATTGACAAATTGTATGAGAACAATTGATGCTAGAAATGTTGAACTTCAAAATCTCCAGACAGCCCTTGGTCAGTATTATGCTGAAATTGAAGCCAAGGTAAAGAATTCTTGGCCACTTACCTCTATACCAGGTTATTCTGAAAGCAAATAGTTTGTGTTGTAAGGCTGTGGTTTTTATACTTAATAGTTTTTTTGTTGGATAGGAACATCTTGAACGAGATTTAGCTTTGGCAAGAGAAGAATCGGCAAAACTTTCTGATCTTTTGAAAGTATGACTTTCCTCTTCAATTGTCAAATATGGTCTATGGTTATGCTTCTCTCTCCCCTTCTGTCTCCACTTTTTTGCAAATAATATATTTATATATTATTTTTGGTAATATAAAGTGTTAGAATTTCATATCTTCCTAGTTGTACTTGGGATTGTTCTCTATTTATCATTGGGATATAGGAAGTTATTTTGCTTTAATTAATAATATACTGAGCAATTCACATCTAGTTTAGGACATCTAACCCGGCTTTATTGGATTAGAAATTGTTCAGAGAGGAATTGGGAGTCATTTCCTGTAGAATGTGACTCTTGGATACTGCTCAAACTGTGGCTTGGCAAATACTTTCCTGACACTAACAAACAGGGCAACAGGATTGTGCATGCAACACCAGCCAGAAAGAATTCTGCTAAATGGTGATATAGATGAGCCAGAAAGTTATAACCTCATTTTTTTCCATGAAGTGGCAAATATCACAATTCGAAACTGATTACCCATCAGAATATGTTAAAGTTTCCTTTACAGTCTGATCTTTTTTAAAAACTTTTCTTCCTTTCTTCAGTTTCTTTATTTTGGCTGCATTACGAGGGGCCAAGTTCTATTAAAATTTGCATATGGTGCTCTGCTTGGTAATTGCACTATTTGCACACATGAATTGATTTGGACAGCTACCATCATGAATGTTCATAAAATTCGAATATCCAAGCTGTACATAAGGAAATTACAAGAAAGAAATATATTAGTGCTTGTTGAATGTCTGAATACTTTTCCTGGGGATACAGAAAGTATTGAAGTATTCTAGGATGTTAGAAATTTCTAGTTCTAGTACTGATTGTGTAGAATCATCCAAACTTGGTAAGCATCTTTGTTTTGGAACATTGTGGAGAACCACAAGGGAGAATGAGAAATATAAGGATAAGGAAACATTATGCGTTATTTTCCTACTTTTTTAGCCTTCATTTTGTTTCATTTTCCTGCATGTTTTTGTGCTCTGATGAATAATGCTTTTATACTTTTTAATTTATCTTTTGATCTACAATGCTTTCGAGTTGTGAATTTTTGCTTTCTCTTCCACATTTGGAACAAATGAACTACCTTTATGGAATTTATTTAATAATTCAAACTTGATTCAGTTAGGAATGAGTATCAATTCTACTAGGAAATGGCAAAAAAAAAAAAGAGCTAGCAAATTCTTAGTAGAATTAAAACAATGCAATTCTAAATTCAATCAAAGTTCCAATGATTCTTTTAATTCAGCTTGAAATTTGGTCGGAGGTCATTCTTATATTTTTGGATAAGATTTCCAGTTTCCCTTTTAGATTAAATCTGTTTTTTCCAAATGAATTTCTCAAGTCAAGTTCATAGCTTTTTAAAGCTTTTTGAGAAATTTAGAAAGATAATCTTTTGATGTTCAAAAGTCCATGCATTTGACATCTGTATCCATATTTCACTCACTCCTTCGATTTATGATGGTTCAAGATTATTTCATAGCTGGATATTTATTGGTGTTTTGGCATTTAGCAACCTACATTTTCTCCCTTTTCATGGATGTCCATCTTTCTACCAGGATGCTGATGAACGTGCAGAGTCATCAAAAAGAGAACAGGAAGAAATTTTGGCCAAGTTATCACAAACTGAAAGGATGCTAGCTGAAGGGAAAGGTAGAGTAAACAAGCTCGAGGAAGACAATGGGAAATTACGCCGTGCTCTTGACCAGAGCATGACCAGGCTTAATAGAATGTCAGTGGATTCAGATTATCTTGTTGACAGGTTAGCTTGTTTAAAGTTGATATAGTTCTTAGGTCCTGGTTGTATAATTCATATTAGGTGGAGTTTCTTTTTACTCTTGATATAGCTTATTGCTAGCATAACCATCTACCCCAGTTTGAAAATAGACGTTATGTATGATGTAGTACTATGAATGTGTGCATGAAAACAGAAGCTCCTCCCTTTCTGGAGGGCTTGACACGCAAGAAATGTTTAGCACTAATCACATCAAGCCAGAGTGTGGTGTTGCCTGAAGGTTGAGTTCAGAGACCAGAGGTTGTTTGGCTTATGCATTTTGTAAAACGAATTATTAGCTTTAAAATATCTTAAAATATTCCTAAATGTTTGATAATTGATAAAGGACTTATATAAGTCTAAGCAGGTTATAAATTTTTCCTAGGTGTTTTAAATGCTAGTGGGTAATTTTGATGTATTTTTATTTGTTTTTAGGCCAATTATCATTTAGTCTTGTAGTTGCATATTCTTTCTGAAATAAAAAGTAGAGTAAAGATTCCTTCACAGGCACCAAAGAGGTACAAACCCTTATGGAAATATTTACATATCAATTGAAATGCCAATAAGATTCCCAAAATCTTCAAAAGAGTAAAAAGATCTATCTTTAACCCTATTAAAATCCACTTCCTTGCCCTAAAAAACTCTCATATTTTTTTTCCTTTCGTACCACTCAAATGGTAGCAAGGGGGATAGGGCTAATGTGTTTCTTCATGCCATTGTTTCTTTTCCATGCCCAAATTTCCTCCCTCATTGAGTGCTGCCATCACCCAATTAGTGTCCAATATGCCATTAGTAAGCATCTAAAGTATGTAAGCAAATGCACACCACAACAGGATATGGTTGAATAACTCAACATCTCTTTTGCACTAGTAACAACGATTAACCTGAATCCTTCCCCTCCTAACTAGCTTGTTCAGAGTTAGAATGCACCCTCTAACTGTCTCCCATGCAAAAAAGGCAATTTTGGGTGATGCATGAACCTTCCAAGTTTGCTTGGGTAGAAAATCTCTAACTGTGGCCTCCCTTTTTGTTAGGTGGTTGTAGAAAGATCTAACAAAGAAAAATCCACTAGTATTGAGGCACTAAAGAGTTTGGTATTTTGTCCTATCAGGCCTAGCCTTGGGAAGGACAAGTAGTAAGGCTTTATACTTAACCTCCTAATCATTTAGATCGTCCACAAAACACTCTGTTCTTCATAATGTCAATGTAGGAATCCTTGATCAATGCATCCTTTGACCTAGCAAAATCATAAGTATGAGGAAACTGGTTTCTAAAAGTACCACCTTCAAGCCACATGTCATGCCATAGACTTACCCTGTCAACAGTGCCAATCCTCCATTTGATACAGTCATGGAACTTCCTTTTACCCGTGCTTATTTTCTTCCACAACCCAGTACCACAGGGTTTAGACCTTTCCTTAGTGAATCACCCTCTGTTCCACAATATCAAAATTTGCCTCAAATACCTTCCACCAAAAACTGTTTTTTGCATTCATGAATCTTCAAAGCCATTTGCTCTGGAGAGCCCTATTAATTTCCACCAATGATCTCAGACCCAGCCCTGCTGACCTCCATATTCTTGTAGTTATATCCATTGTTACAAGTCCGGTCTTACATCTTTTTTTCGTTATAATCAGGTCTCATTGAACTATAAAAAATTCCAAATAATTACCTATATACCTGACAAAAAAAGAATTGGAATTAATTTGTAACATGGCCACAGTTATAGGACTGAGATGATAATAATTAGCCCTTATATTTTTATATCTGTAAGTATATTAAGTGATTACACAAATATATTTTACTCAAGGCAGTTTAACTGCTCATATTTTTAGGTTACAAACTCCTTTATTTTCGCCAAGTTAAACACTCTCAGGCATTGCATCAGTCAAAAAAATAGTTCCAAGTTTTCCTCTGGAAGCTATCAACATCTTAAGCTTGCATCTCATGGAACTATAATGTAATAAAAAACAGACCCCAGTAGCACCTCTTTGACATCTGCTATTTAGTCTTTTGTGTTCCATCAGTGGTGGTTTCTTTTCCCTCCCCCTCTCCCTCCCGGGAACCACCAAAATCTATAATTTAAACTTTGGTGGTGCTTTAATGATAGTACTGCAAATCCAGTGGATATGCATATTACATTGTTATTGCTGGATTATTGGATATCATGGTTTTTTTTTGTGATAATAAAATTACTAAAATGTGATAATGTGTCGTTCTTGGCAGGCGAATAGTGATCAAATTACTGGTGACCTACTTCCAGAGAAACCACAGCAAAGAGGTATGCTCCCTTAGACAAGTGGAAATTATTTTAGATAGGAAGAAGCAATACCATTGTCAGGACGAGTTATCTCATTTTGCAATACCATTGGCAGAAAGAATTATCTCATTTTGCATTGGCTAGCATGTTGCTGTTCAGGATTAATTTGCGGCTGCCTGTCGATAAACCATCTATGAACTATGAATCAACGAGACATTAATTTTGTTCTTTGAACTATCAAGACCAACAAACCCCCCCTCCCCCCTCCCTCCTCAGACAAAAGAAAAGAAGGAAATGATAGACCAAAAGGTATGATGGAGGGAACACAAATAATCCACAAATATTACCGATAGAAATTGTTGCTTTTTTGTGTCAAAAGAGTATAACATAGAAGTCCCTAGAAGGTTCTTAATTTACAGGTCTGATTTGGATGACCATAGGTTCTGATCTGAGTGCTTTTTTTCCCTTTGCCAAAACTAGCATGACCTGCCACTAATTTCATTTGGCTTATCTCAGGAACTTGGCTGATACTACTTATGGTGTGTATAGGTTCTTGATCTTATGGTTCGCATGCTGGGATTCTCTGATGAAGACAAACAGAGGATAGGAATTGCACAGCAAGGTGCAGGCAAAGGAGTTGTCCGGGGTGTTTTAGGTCTGCCTGGCCGCTTGGTTGGTGGCATATTGGGTGGAAATTCTACAGATGCACATGCAAATATGTCATCAGAAAATCAGGTGAATTTCTTATGCTTATCTGGATTTTGCTTTGATTTCAATGCTTGGATATTCTGTTATTGCGGGTGGTTTTATCTGATCCAGTAATATATGTCAGTTCGGTTTATACTTTTGATAGCATTAAGTTTGTAAGTCAGGCAAGTGATTTATTCCTCTTTGGAACCAAGTGGCATCTTAATTCTTTTGAGTCAAATCTCTATTATTGGCTTGATTAATTTATGATACTACCAAGTATGTATGGTGTAGCAATTGGTTTTATTGGATTCTCACCTGAAAGGTTCTATATTGAAGTTATCACATTGCAAATATTTAGAAGTTTTTGATTCGGTGCCTTACAGTGCTCCAAATGCACATGGGTTTCTACCCAGCTAATATGCTCTAAACCATCAATTGTTTTTCCATGCTCTTTTTTCCTGGGGGGTTGGAATTGGCAGAACTAAATCACTCCTTTACATCTTGATATAATGTGGTAATTTTTGGTACATTTTCTGCTTCCTGTGAAAGACAGCATTGACAATATGGTCCAACAAGTTCTGCGGTAACCTGTATTAAGTCTTGATGATCCTTTAGTTCAGTTAAAGAAAATAAAAAGAAGAAGAAAATGCTATACTTGTGTGTTTATCAATTCTACATTAACGCATACTTGTATCTCAGCAAGACCATGAGCTCAAACTAAATAGTAGAGTAGAGTATCTCTAAAGAAAGTTTGATGTTTGAATCTTTGGTTATTTTCAAGTCAAGAGTTGAGACTTACTAAGTGCTATTTCTTAACGCAAAATACATTTTCCCAGTCCTTTTCAGATTTATGGGTTGATTTTCTGCTCAAGGAAACCGAAGAAAGAGAGAAGCGAAAGTCTGGGGAAGATGGTCATAATACCAGCAGTCTATCAGTGTCGGACAATAGAACTAGTTCATCCAATCATAGGTTATCAAGGCCGGGTATGTCTCCAAGCCCAAACTTTAGTGACTTACCCTCTCGAGGGCAGTTACGGCCATTTGAACATTCTGATTCCGAGTTCTCAACAGTACCACTCTCATCATAAGAGAGGATTTCCCGAAATTCAAGATTACTCCAAAAATATTGAACTCCTGAACTGTGTAATTACTTGGCAAAGGTATAGATTCTTTGTTAATGTTGTAGCCATGGTCATTGTTTAATTGATTCTTTTATACCTGAATGAGAAAAGCCTTTGATGGGGCGTCGCTTTCAATATTTTTAACTTCCAAAAATAAATTGAGAAATAGAAATTGAATGTGAATAAACTTCTGTTGGCAAACTTTGACGAACACAATACTATTTCTTTGATAGTTCAAAAGTCCTCGCGCTCTTAGATTGTGCTTTTTTCTATACGTTTCTGTGGTTATAGTTTGCCGATGGTCCAATTGTCAGCAGCGAGGTAATTTTGATAAATACGTTAGTAATTGATATTACAAACGACAGCAATTATTTAAATACTTTTGAGTTGCATTATCAATTTACTATTTATTATTTAGAGACTTTATATATTCAGATTACAAATTAACAAATTTAATCAATGTTTATTATATCAAATAACCTTACTTAACAAGATGTACTTTTACATTACGATCCCCAAAACATACAATATGTACTTTCTCATTACGATTACCAACATACAAACAAAAACTTTTTATACAACACTTCCTAACATAATTTTAGCAACCATTCTTGATCCTCCTGCTTCTGTCTCAAAGCATTTTACTTTGAATAAAAACCAACAACAATTCCCACAGCATTTTTACCAGGACCAGTCATAACAAAAACAAGTCAAACACGCCCTACACCCTTTTAGCTTTGAAAGCAGCTTTAGGAATCTTACTCAAAACCTTGGCATCGAACAAGGCATACTGCTTTTTGATTTCTTTCATTACCTTCTCAGCACATGAGTCAACCTTGTCCTCATACTTCTCGTAGAGCACGGGCACAGTGTGCAGCAAAACAACAACTGTTATCCAGATCAAGATACCAAGATTCAGTATTACAGTTTACTTATAACTGGAAAAATAATGTTTCCAAAACAAATTTCCTTACTTATATAAAACAAGGTCAAGAAATTGCACCAACTCCCCACAATTGACATGACCCACAAGCTTGAAATCACCTGACATTCAAGACATGATCAAATTATCAGAAGTTGATTAATTTTCAAATTTTATGTTGCATCTTTCACCAGACAGATAGATGAACAAACCACAAGAAACTTCTTCAAGTCTCTTCCTGAAGCAATGTCCCGCAATATTTTGAAAACCCAGTTTATTTCCATCCGAAGTGCAGAAGCAACCTGCAGGAATGGCTCCTCCGGAATATGGACTTCAGGAATTCGAGGACGAGACCTACAACGAGAGTTGTTATTCTGGGGACAGAGGATGATCAAACTATGAAAACAGTACGGAGGTTTAAGACACCAAACTGAGAACTGAATAATTTGATAAATGGATAAGGTAATACAGTTAAAAACCAATAGACTTACTTGTTGATGAAGGTGTGCACATTGGACCACAAGAACAAGACTGCAAGCGAGAGAATTAAAATATGGCAAGCAAGAGTTAACAGATGGTACTCGAGCAATTCAAACAGGACCCACACTGCAGTTGCTGTGCCGAGAACACCAGCTGAGATCTTTTTATTTCTCCACAAAAACACATCAGCAGCTGCACCAAGCGATAATGAAATTATCAAAGAATGAAATTATCAAGTTATGGCTATGTTTGGAATAAATTCAAAATTAGCATAGAACTCATTTTTCAACAATACTTATTTCAGCTAAAACAGGATGAAAGTCTCCCTAAAAGTCAAAATTGGGCTCATTTAGAATGCCAAACAATGAATTTCAAAAACTCTATCAAATTTGTATTTCCCCTAATTAAATACGTACAAATTTCTAAATGAATTACATAGAATCCTGAATTTGTTCCAAAGATAGCCTATTTTGTTATGCTTTGTTTGGTTGGGTGAGAAGAAACTACAGGAACTTTTTGCTTCCAAATATGGGAAAATAAAAGGAAGTATCAGCAGTCGTTCAAGGTTCATCATCCTACTTGAATCACGGAGTCATCGGTTTTAGCAACAATTTTGACTAACACACGCTCTGTTTCTAAGCCACCAAATGAATCTTCAAACACTTAAACAGTGAAGCTAACTGATCTAAGCAAACATCCGCAACGATACTTCGAAAAAACAAGATAAAGAAAAACAGAAACCATAGATGACAAGGAAGCTATAAAATAAATCAGATAAGGACAAAGAAACCGAAAGGTCCATACGCTTTCCTCCACCGAAAACAGTGTGAACGGGTCGCTCTCTGCCGAATATTCGATAAATCTTTGCTTTCACGGACGCCGCCGCAGATTTCTCGTTGTCCGAGTCCGAATCAGATGAAGAAGACGAGGAATCATGAGCGTGAATCTTCTCCGAGATCTTCTCCATCAACGTCTCCGTCGTTCTACCGGAATCCTCCGATTGCTCCGCCATTGTTCGCTCTGTTTCGAAACCCTAATACCTCCCAAATGTATCTATTTCTCCCAGGCCCCAGCAGTCGAAAATTTATGTTTGCGAAGTCAGCGATTAAGTGCCTCGAGTTAGGACACGTGGCAGATGTAGATGGACTGATCGGTCAAATAAATGGCCATTGCTTTTTGCTAGTTGAATTGAATACGGTTAATGTCTATGGGCCTCCACCTGCCCAGGTGTCCTATTCTTTTATTTTATTGATAATTAATTTATTATCTAATTAAAAAAAACAGTGTCTTAATTTTCTAGAGATGTTACGTGTTAAATTTGCTCGACGCGTATCGGATGCCCATTTGCCGAGCTGGTCCAGTGACTGATGTGAACAGGTTGGTTCGGCCTGTCCGGTCAAACGAGCCAGGGCCAAATCACTTTGTGTGCTCATTGTTTTTAAGTATCTCTTTATAGAACAATTATAACTCCTTAATTTCTGTTGTTACTAATTAGGGTTTTTGTTTTTGAAATTTGACCAAGTCCTTTTAAGGACCTATGATACATGTGAGTAGCAGTGATGGAGTATAAACTATTCAGATTTCTCCAAAAACATGTGAGTAGTTCTAAATAATTGCAAATGAAACCCTTCGAGAGTTCAAGTTGATTCAAATCTCACAGTAAATTTGCTAGATGGATTTGAGTTTTACAGCACCCATCCGAAACCTAATTCCTTGTCAGCCATAATATGATTCGTAAGAGTCCCATCTCATCCATGATGTCTCATATCACTGAAGTATGCTCGCAAGTTTATAATTGGCAATGTTTATGGACTTCTGTTATCCTGGATTAATGTCTCTGTTTTAAGAAAACAAGAAATTTTGAGCTTTCACTGTAAAAATAAAACAAGTTAATATTTTAACATCTGCAAGTAACAGATGCCAGAGGAAGAATATTAGTTTAAGCATGCAGAATGATAGAAAAGCCGTTTCATATTTTACTGGTAGCTGGGGAGAACGTTTTGAAGTGAACCAAATACACAATTGACACAATATTTTTATCCTCTCTCACTCTCAGCCACAGATACGAGATAGCAAATGAACAGTAATCCTCATCGGGCAGCAATGAAGAGGCAATCGGCTCAGCTCCTAAGACAGTCTGCCCGAACTGTTGCTAACAGCCATCATAGCTGGTTCTTATCAAAATCGTGTATCAACAACAATAATCAACAATGATCCTGCTGCCTCTATAATTGTCCCAAAAGTTGTGATCACCATACCACAAAAAAAAAATTGACATTCAAATATGTCACAAATAGAAGTAAAGCCCAGTTTGAAAGCCACAGATAAACATAAAAAGCAACCAAAAAATTTGGCGTTGAATTCTTCAAATGCTGAGATGTTATAACTTGTAAGCCTAACACAAACGATTTTGTTGGGGCAAATTGAAGCAAATGACTTGGAAGCTAACAGGTTAAACCCTCTTGGATTTGAGAGCACCTTTAGGAATCTTGCTCAGAACCTTTGCATCAAATACTGCATACTGCTTTCTGATTTCTATCATTGCCTTCTCTGCAAACGGATCAACCTTGTCCTCATACTTCTCATAGAGCACAGGCACAGTGTGCAACAGAACAAAAACTGTGTTCCAGGTCAAGAAACCAAGACCAGGATGAGATTATATTTAGAGTTATGAAGAAAAAAAACCTACAGTTCAAATTTCTCATCGGCCTTACTTATGTAAAACAAGGTCAAGAAGTTGCACCAACTACCCACAATTGACACCACCCACAAGCTACCGATCACCTGATATTCAAGAAACCATTATATTATCAGGATTTAATCAATTTCCCAATTTTAGGTGGCATCTTTCCCCAGAGAACTAGACAGATAGATGATTAACAAACCACAAGAAACTTCTTCAAGTCTCTTCCTGAAGCAATCTCCCGTAGAGTTGAGAAAACCCAGTTTATTTCCATCCGCAGTGCAGAAGCAACCTGCAAGAATGGCTCCTCTGGAAGATGGAATTCAGGAATTCGAGGAGGAGACCTACAATAAGAGTTGTTATCCTGAGAGTGGAAGACAACCAACCATGCAAGCAGATGAAGGTTTGATACCCCAAACGACAACCTAAAAACTGAATAACTTGATTAATGCACAGTGCAATACAGTTAAAAACCAAGAGGCTTACTTGTTGATGAAGGTTTGTGCATTGGACCAGAGGAAGAAGACTGCAAGCACAAGAATTGAAATGTGGCAAGCAAGGGTTAGGAGATGGTACTCTACCAATTCAAACAGAACCCACACTGCTGTTGCTGTGCCAAGAACACCAGCTGAAATCTTTTTATTCCTCCACAATAACACATCAGCAGCTGCACCAAGTTGTACGAAAGATTTCAAATAGAGAAATGCAAAATGCTTACGCTTTGAGCTCAACTAAACAAAAGCAAACGTCGTCTTGCAATTGCCCCAAACCTTATGGTTGTTTTGTGGCTTGTCTGTGAAAAGAACACAGACAAGCCGGTTTACTGTCTCAAATGATTTCGGTTTTAGATATCCAACAATCCGCGTACCGTTGGAACAAATCCAAGATTTATATGGAGTTCATTTGCAAATCTTGGCATAGTTCAATTAGAAAATGATGAAATCCTCTTTTAAAATTTATTATTCTAATATTCACATTAAATGATCTTAATTCTTATCATCTTTCACAGGAATTTGCATATTTGAAATCCGCCAAGTAGGAGATCTGTTCCAAAGGTTGCCTTATTCTTTGTTTGGTTGCCAGAAGAAAGAAACTAAAGGAAATTTTTTGCTTTCCAAATAAAATAAAATAGAAAAGAAGTATCAAGTACTCGTTTCTAGGTTCATCATCCAACTTGAACGAGGAAGTAATCAGGTTTAGCAACAATATTAACTGAAACCCGCTCGTTTCCGGCATTTTCTAAGCCACCACATTGATCATTTATCTTCAAACACTTAAACAGTGAAGTCAAAACGATCTATAAGCAAACATCCGCAATGAAAGAGTACTTCATCAAATCGCCGTCGGAAAAAAAAATAAAAGAATCACTTAAAAAAAAACAAAAACCATAGATCAGAAGAAACATGTAAAACAAATCAGATAAAAGACAAGGAAACTGAAATGTCCATACGCTTTCCTCCACCTAGAACCTTGTGAACCGGTTGCTCTCTGCCAAATATTCGATAAATCTTCGCTTTCACGGATGACGCCGCAGATTTCTCGTTGTCCGACTCCGAATCAGAAGAAGAAGACGAATCATGACCGTGAATCTTCTCGGCGATCTTCTCCATTAACGTCTCGGTCGTTTTACCCGAATCCTCGGACTGCTCTGCCATTATCACTCCGATTCAAAACCTAATATCTGCGAAGTGGATCTATTTTTCTTAGTATAGAAGGAACTTTCGGTACGTCTGAGTTCAAAAAGTGACCGTTCCAGCGAATTAAAATTCGCGTTATGAGCCAGTGGACTTGGGTTATATAGCGCGGCGTCGATGATCACACCCGAACCTAAGGCTCGGTAATGGAAGCCGGCGGTCCGATGAAATATTTGACATCACAAAATGACGGCGTTAAGTTTGGAAAAGATAAGAGATGTGACGGGCGTGAAATCATCGTTCAAGGAAGTGAGGCCGTACGTGTTGATTCCTTCCTTAATGCTCTTAGGGAGGCATGAACGTGGTGGCAACAATGGACGGTGGACGATTTAAAAGTCAACAACTGAGTGAGTAGATCGGAGACACGTGGAAGATTTAGATGAACTGATCGGCTAAATGTCAGTGGGGGCTCCACCAGCCATGTTATTGTTCATGCCTTTCTTTTAATTAGGATTTTTAATTATTTTGTGCGTACATATTTTAATTATTATCTTTTATTTTTTATATTTAGTGGGTCCAGCCCGATCTACATTATGTGCTCGGCCCAAGGGGCTAATTGGCCAGCCCATTTGAGACCTTTTTGAGATTATTTATATAAACTATACTTCTATAGATCCTTTTAACATTATGTAATCTTGATATTTGGTATTTAATATTTATTTATTATGATTATTCTGAGCTTTGTTTTACTAGTTGAAGCTTCGTGTTGGATACTTTTTTAACTTTATGTCAGATAAATATCTGTTTGTACTTCATCATAACAGTAAATATACCATCAAGTGATAATGAGGTTCTGCATCTATTTTTACTTTTTATAAATTAAACGGTGGAAATAGGCGTGAATCATCTTGGCAATCTTCTCCATCAACGCCTCTGTGGTTCTACCGTGTATCCCTATTCATATATTTTTATTGATTAATAATAATACATATACATTAATTATCATAATATAATGAAAATTAGTTTTAAATAACTCCATTGATAGGAGAATTAATCCAGAATCAATTCCAAATTGCTGACAGCTTACTTTTTCTGAAGAGATTTGAAGTTATAGCCTTTTGGTATAACGCACGATAAGGCTCGTTGAATCTGACTAAATGCCTGAACCGACAGGTAATTAATTGGTTGGACAAATGAGAATGGAGTGTCAACAACAATAATCAGCAATGAGCCTGCTTCAGTAATGGTCCCAAAAGTTGTGACAAACATACCACTAAAACAAAATCGACATTAAAATATCTCAGAAACACAAGGCAATCTGAAAGCCATACATAAACATAAAAACTGATGGCGCTGAATCCTTGAAACTTGGAAGCCCAACACAAAAATAATTTTGTTGGAGCAAAATGAAGCAATGACTTGGAGCTGACAGGTTAAACCTTCTTGGCTTTGAAAGCAGCAGCTTTTGGAATCTTGCTAAGAACCCTTGCATCAAATACTGCATACTGCTTTTTGATTTCTATCATTGCCTTCTCTGCAAACGGATCAACCTTGTCCTCGTACTTCTCATAAAGCACGGGCACAGTGTGCAACACTACAAAAACTGTTTTACAGGTCAAGAGACCAAGATTAGTATGAAACTATATTTAAGAACAAAAAAAGTTTCCGATTCAAATTTCTCATTGGCCTTACTTATGTAAAACAGGGTCAAGAAGTTGCACCAACTACCCACAATTGACACCACCCACAAGCTAGCAATCACCTGACATTGAAGAAACCATTGTTTTATCAGAATCTAATTACTTTTCCAATTTTAGGTTTGCATCTTTCACCAGAGAGAGCTAGACAGATAGAAGATTAACAAACCACAAGAAACTTCTTTAAGTCTCTTCCTGAAGCAATCTCCCGCAATGTTGCAAAAACCCAGTTTATTTCCATCCGCAGTGCAGAGGCAACCTGCAAGAATGGCTCCTCTCGAAAATGGAATTCAGGAATTCGAGGAGGAGACCTACAATAAGAGTTGTTATGCTGAGAATGGAAGACAATCAACCATGAAAGCATAATGGAGTTCTGATACACCAAACAACAATCTACAAAGTGAATAACCAGATAGGATAATACAGTTAAAAACAAAGAGGCTTACTTGTTGATAAAGGTATGCACATTGGACCACAGGAACAAGACTGCGAGGCTGAGTATTAAAATGTGGCAAGCAAGGGTTAAGAGATGGTACTCTACCAATTCAAACAGAACCCACACTGCAGTTGCTGTGCCAAGAACACCAGCTGAGATCTTTTTATTCCTCCACAAGAACACATCGGCAGCTGCACCAAGTTGTGAAAAGATGTCAATAGAGAAATGCCAAATGTTTAAACCCTACACTCAGTTAAACAAAATGCAAAATATCTCTTGCAATTACCCGAAATTTTTCTGGAGAAATATTTGAAAAGAACTAAGAAAAGCCTGAATTCTGTTACAAACTAGACCCATTTAACCAAACTATTTTTATTTTAGATATCCAACACTAAGGCTAAGTTTGGAATCAATCTAAAATTATCTAAAATTTATTTGTAAATCCTAACTTATTTCAGTTAAAAATGATAAAAACTTATCTACAATGATAAAAATTAAAGTAAATGACATTATATGTGTACCTGAAACAATTCTAAGTTCTATCAAATTAAAATTCCTTATTCGTGGAAATCTATATGTGCTATATTTTTATCCTCTTAAAAAAAAAATTGCATTTTGCTTGTTAAAATAGATATATATTTACAAACGAAAATCCACCCAAGATGGAGATTTGTTCCAAGATTGCCTATATTGTTATATTTTGTTTGGTTGCCGGAAGAAAGTACAAGAAACTTTTTGCTTTTAAAATAACATGAAAAGGAAAAGAAGTATTAAGCAGTCGTTTCTAGGTTCATCATCCAACTTGAATGATGAAGTCATCAGTTTCAGCAACAATATTTACTACAACCCACTCGGCTCCTGCATTTTCAAAGCCACCAAATGGATAATTCATCTTCAAACGCTCAAATAGTGAAGATAACCAATCTATAAGCAAATATCATCAATGAAAGAGAACTTTTTCAAACCGCCATAGGAAAGAAATAAAACAATCACTTCAAAAAATTACAAAAAAAGAAAAAAAGAAAAGAAACCATAGATCAGGAGCATATAAAATAAATCAGATAAAGGACAAAGAAACCGAAATGTGCATACGTTTTCCTCCACCGAGAACGTTGTGAACCGGTCGCTCTCTGCCGAATATCCGATAAATCTTTGCTTTCACGGACGAAGCCGCAGATTTCTCGTTGTCCGAGTCCGAATCAGAAGAAGAAGACGAATCATGGCCGTGAATCTTCTCGGCGATCTTCTCCATCAATGTCTCGGTCGTTATACCCGAATCCTCTGACTGCTCCGCCATTGTTCCCTCCGATTCAAGATCCTGATATCCCCGAAATGGATCTGTTTTTCTTAGCAAAGAAGGAAATTTTTGGGTGCGTCTCAGTTAAGAAAACGATGGAGTGAGCAAAATGGAAACCTCCGTTTCGAGCCAGTGACTTGGAATATATAGCGCGGCGTCAACTATGAGCCCCGAAGCTAAGGCTTCGTAAACGGAACCTAGTGGTTCGGTCAGATATTTGAAATCAGGGAATGACGGCGTTTAGTTTCAAACGGAGAAAACACGTGACGGGCGTTAAATCATCGTTCAAGGAAGTGGGGCCGTACGTGTAGATTCCCTATCGTTCCTCAATGCTTTTTAAAAGATTCAGGAAGGCGGTGGCAAAAACGAACGGTGGATGATTGGAAAGGCACCGACCTAAGTCAGTAGATTTTGGAGACGTGGCAAATTTAGATGGAATGATCTGTCAAATTGACGGCCATTGCTTTTCGTTAATTAAATTGAATGAGGTTAACGCCGGTGGGCCGGCAACCAGAGCACGTTATTCATCTGTGCTTTTCTTTTATATAACTACTTTTTTCCATTCTATTAAATTATTCATAGACTAATTTATTTATTTAAAAAAGAGTGATTTCTTTTGAAGATTTCACACTTACATATTTTATATGTCCCACCCGAGTGGCAGAATAAACGTGTTGGGCTGGTTTACACACTGTTATTTATTTTTTTAATTAAATTAATTACTATTTCATTATTATTTTATTTTAACAAATTTCTTGGGTTAATCAAAACATGTTTTGTGGCCCAGGTTTAATTTGGTCCTGTACGATCTATATTATGGACTCGGCCTAACCAAGTCCACCTAGTGACCTAGTGGTTTTGAACTGCCCAGCCCATTGGGTAACTGATGTTGCATTAATCGTATGAATTACATTTAAAGAGATTCTTAATGTTATTTCCTAAAATATTAATTGACTAATTGAAGAAGATTATGTTAAAAGAAGAAAGCTAGGGTTTCCCGTAAGACACTGGGAACAGAAGAAGGAAATGAGGATGATGAGTTGCTTTGGTGAACATAAATGTAAGCTTTCATTTTTTAATCTAATATTCTATTGGCCAGTGTTGCTATCATGGGTTACTCCCTGTACTTCATTTTATAATTATGAAGGCTTTAGAATATCTAGTGGGGAATCTTCCAAAATCTAATCTATCTAAATACATAATACATACATTCATGCGCTTGTATATATATATATATATATTTATGTATGTATGTATATCATATATCATAAACAAGTAAGTCCATGTGGATTCATTGTGTTTTTGCTGGATGAAATTTCTATTTTTCTTTTGGAAGATAAAATGTCTTCCCACTTAAAATAATAAAGTGATGCTTTTTTTTTTTTATTATTAAATAAAACATTGGGAGAATGGAAAGGAAAATTTTAAAGCAGTGGAAAAATGGTTGATGTCCAAAAAGGACAACAAGAAAAGAAGATAAATTGAAATTCGAAGTGCATCTAGTTAAGTGAGAAAGTGGAAAAGTACTTTCGGTCGTCTTATTATGTTATTGAGTGACAGTTAAATTTTTGTAATTAATAATATAATTTTTTTTTTTTTATTTTATAAGCATATTATTACTTAATTCAATAAATTTACTATATTTATATAATAATTAAATTTGAAATAGTGTTAAATCAACTTCAAATCAAAATCATTTACTTCAAAATTTTAAACCCCTTCATTTATAATTTATGCCGATAATTACGCAATAATTTCACGATTACCCTCTCGTGCCTTGTTTAATTATAATTTAATCTGTAATGCTTTTTAAATAATTACTACATTCTTACTCATATAATTGTTAGAAAAATTCAAACAAGAATAAAGTTTTGCTAGAGATTCCTGAATAAATCAAAACCACCATTCGTATCTTTCTTATTAGTACCAATTCTCTAGTTTAATTTCAATTCTATAATATAAATTTACATAAAATAATATTTTAATTCTAAATTAACTTCACATATAATTCATATTTGTAATGCCCAAATATAATTTTTTTAATTTTTTATTTTAATTTAGTGTAAAAATGAAGGAAATGTGATGGATGATGAAATTGGAAATAACTTTATAGAAAATATGTGTAAATTTGAGTTTTAAGAGTATTTTTGAAAAATAAAAATAAAAAATAAGGGGTCAAAATATAATTTAAAAAAGTTTTGCTACGTAGGATGCCCGGTCAGCAGCCTCGACGAAGTAGGACGCGCCGTGTGGCAATGGACGCTGACGCAGTGCCACGCAGGAGGCCACACAGGCGATCCGCATGCCCGCGATCGAACGACTCAAATCTGTTCCCGCGCGCACGGATGGCCTGGATGCATTCCCTCCCCAATGCGATCGAACGATCAGCTTTAAACGCGATCAGACGATTCAGATTAGATCGCGATGAACGGCCCAGATTAGATTGCAATGAACGGTCCAGATTCACTCCCTATTTAATCACGATCGGACGATCCAGATCAAACGCGATGGACGACTCAGATTAAATAGAGACGGATATAAATAACCCACTTCACACTAAATCCTAACCCTAACCACCGGGAAGGAGAGCCGCCGCCGCCCGCCGTAGCGCCAGAGCTACTTCTGACCGCCAAATTTCACAAAACACCTCCGGTGAGGCCCATCCTGATTCCCGTTCAGTATAATTTTTTCACCTTTGTGATCACTGTTTTCTTCTCTACAGGTTGACTGGAGCAAAATATCCAATCGCAACGTGAGCCTGAAGAGCCGCACCGGAGAGCTCCGCCGCCGGTGAGTTTTGGTTTTTTGTATTTTTTCGGCCAACCGAGGCCCTTTAACGTGTTTTCTCACAAGAATCGATGCAAAATCAGCCAAATTTGGCCAATCACCGCGAGCGTCGGCGTCGTCGCCGAAACACAATGGAGTTGTCATGCCGAAATTCTGAAATTGGCCAAAATTGGATCCTGATACTGATTTTGGATTTTTTAGGACATTTGTAGGTATTTATAGCGTGTTTTAATTCCAAAGAAAAATTCAGGGAACTCGGGGACCGCCAGTAGGCGCAGTCAACAGTTTAGCATTTCGGGTATCAAATTGAGTAAGAATCTCTCACCCTATCCTCTACTATTGAATTGAAGTTTAATTTTAAAGAATATGGTATTTTGTGAAACTTAAAAAATATCTATAATTAATTATGGGTTACTAATGGAGTCGGAACTAAAAATTATTCTCTCTTGATTTCTGTTGATTTATTTTACAGTTTAAATGCATGTAGTATCTGATTTATCGATTTTATGGTTTGAATGCGTGTCTTACTACCTTACGTGACTACTATTAAATTAAAAAATCGAGATATGATTATATTCTCTAATATATGTTTGTTTATTTACGTGGTTACGGTTGATTGGA